TCTCTCTCTCTCTCTCTCTCTCTCTCTCTCTCTCTCTCTTTTTCTCTGTCTCTTCTTCCTCTTCCTCCTTCTCCATATCTCTTACTCTTTCTCTCTCCACTCGGCTGATATACGATCGAACCCCACGCTTTTCTCGCGGCAACGAGACAAACGAGCTCAGCGTCGTGGAAGAAAGCCAGGAAGGTATGCAAATCGGAAAAACGGCCGGAAGATGAATTAGCCGGATATCGGAAGGACTAATGGATATTAGAATCCCGCGACCGTAAGATCATCGCGCGCGTCCTTCCTCTTTTCGCGATCGTGCCAACCACGACGTATGATTAATACGCTTAGCAGAGAGAGAATGGGAAAAGAAAGAAGAAACCTATTTACCTTCTCGATGATGGACTCCTCACGATGCGCTTTGTCGATCTCGGCCCATCCATTTCCGGCATACGCACGCACGCACGCACGCACGCACGCACGCACGCATGTACACACATACGGATGCGACGGAAGCGTGCGACGTCAGCGAAAAATCCACGATCGCGCGTGATAAAGTTGCGCGAGCTGTTGGATATTGCCGCATAAAGACGAAGAGAAGCATCTGCTGCTCGATAGAAATTCCACCGTTGCGAACGCGACGGTTCTGATCTTTATGACGTAACGTCACGTTGTTCGTTCGTCCGAGCGCGAGAGATCGTTTCTCTGCGCGAAGGCTCTCGAGTCCATCCATCCGTTCTCTTGACACGACCGATGGATGGATGGATGGATAGACGGATGCATGCACGCGCGCTCGCTATCGACGTTGCGAGGGATTTGCGAAGTACCGTTTAAATAAAGTAGCACTGTCTGCAGGAATTTCACGGCAAGGATCCTCTCTCTTTCTCTCTTCCCTTTCCTCCCTCCCCCTCCCTCTCTCTCTCTCTCTCTCTCTCTCTCTCTCTCTCTCTCTCTCTCTTTGGAGCAGCAACTTCCCTGCAGAAGTCCGCGGCCGTGCGTACATCGAAACAATCTCCTTTCAAATATTTACGTCCGCTCGACAGAACGGATGTTCGACGTGTGCGAGCGCCGTTTGAAGTCGTCGGTTCGAGGCGATCTCTCGCATTCGGCACGCGGAAACTTTCGTCCGCGTTCCCGCTACACGGCACTTGGTTTCGCGCGCGAACCTGCAGATCGCCGCGATGATGACGCGCACTTACGGTGAAAGTCAATTACGCGCTCCAACACATCTCCCAGCCGTTAGACATACGTCGTCCACCGTGCCGGTAATCCGCATTACTATGCATTAACGTGCCCGCCATGGACAATGGGTTCATACGTTAAGATCACACACGGGGAACTCACGCTCGTTTTATGCATTGAACGCTGCAGGCGTTATGCCTACGGAAGCGCTCTCGGCACCCGTGAGAGGATTTATCGGCTACGAAATACGGAGAGTAGACTGCGAGACGCGGAGATCGACGTATATCAACTTTATAGAATATTTACAACGAATGCGTAATACGGCATGCAAATTGGTTTCGCTTGCTAAGTTGATACTCGATTAATCCACAAACGCTAAACTATCTTTTACTGAACGTATAAAATTGTTTACGTGTTGCGAGTAACTAATGAAAAAGTAATTTAATACATGGCGGACATTTTATATTAAAAGAGCGACCAGAGCTTACATTCGATTGAATCGTGTCACCTTCCCGTTGACTGTGGATAACACGCATAAACGAAAAACTCTCCTCATTGACACGAACGAAACGTCAAACTGTCCAAATGTCACAGCTGCTTGAACACACATCGTCGTCGTTTCTTCGAATAATCAACAGTCACGCACATAACTACGTAAAAATAAATATGTCAAATGTACACATATATTCTACTATGTTGACAATTTAAACGTTCGTATTTAAAGACGAAAACAGAATATCCAGAATTAGGTCCATGAATTGACACTTGGCTAAATTTTTCTTTTCGTAAATGCCAAGAATGCTCTCGTTCGAGAAGACGCGTCATTCACAGATCAAGGAGATCGAGGCGAGACCCGCCGGTTTCGATGAGACACACACGCACTTTAATCACTGCCACGATCTCCCTCGCGTAAGCGTAAGCGCGGGATATCGCGGTGCGCACGTGCATCACGCGCCTACCTTTCATTCATACGAGAGCGCGCGAGCGGAAATCTCTGGGCAGGTCTGGGTGGGTGCGCGTAAGCTCTCTCTCTCTCTCTCTCTCTCTCTCTCTCTCTCTCTCTCTCTCTGTTTCTCGCTCGCTCGCTCGCTCTGTGTGTACGCCGGGGTTCGGCCAGGCGCGGAGCAAAACGGCGGAAAGACTCGGCCGCGCGGCGTTAAGTGGGCGAGGCATTGTGCCGAGAGAGCGGCCTTGGATCTAATTATTCCGAGCGGTAGCGGCGCGCGCTGATATCTGCGCCGTTTCCACGCGTTCGCGTGGGAGTAGCCGGCGGGCAGGAAATTAAATGAACGCGCGTTCTCGCGCGCGCACGAGAGAGAGAGAGAGAGAGAGAGAGAGAGAGAGAGAGAGAGAGAGAGAGAGAGAAGGAACGCGGTCGATCGGCCGACGACTCCTGCAAGTGTACACCCGCAAGTGAATCGCTCTTTCGGACAGATGGTGACGCAGTCACCTCCGTTCCTCTTGCAGCGGATTCTCTCCCGCTGTCAGCTGGCCGGAAGAAATATCGTCGTGAAGCTCGCGAGCGCAACGCGAATAGCGCGACTATGTGCCTACGGATTTAACACTTCGTGCTCGATTAGTTCGTACCAAGCGAATCTTCACTGAGAGAGAAGAGTGGTCGATCTAACTAAAATTATAGTTACTTTTTGTCCCAACTATATTTTTTGTAGTAAAATAGTAACATGCATATAAGATTATTGTTACACTGACATTATAGTCAAATTTAATAAAAAGTTGGTTTCCTGTCTCTCTCTTTCTCTCTCTCTCTCTCTTGACTATAATTTATAGTGATTATTTTTCCGCGTGTTTAT